AAACGGTAGGTTTCTTTTTTGCGCTACTGTGATTGAAAGATTCTGAATTTCATTGATATTAAGTTAATTACTCAATCTCTCGTTCATAGGCAAGAATCTTTTGGAGATCTGCTGCTGAATTCGCGCATGTTCTGTACTATCCAATTTCTATGTACTTAATGGTTCCAGATACTATTGAACGACGTCAATAAGCTATTACAATTAGAGCATGGTGTTTTCCACCCGTCATGGGCCCCGATTATTCACGGCTGCATTCCTTTCTTGCTGTTGGCTATCCATAAGCTATCTTCTTTTTTAAGTAGTATTACTTATTTTACTTACTTATTTTACTTATTTTAGGTTGTAGGGCTATTTACATAAGTCTGCCAGCAGTCATTGGTCTGTTCAAGCTTACTTTAAGATTTATCGCCATGGAACGAATTACTTAACAGCGGCTTCCATAATGCTCGCATCTTGCACAATTGTAGCACAATTGTTGGAACAGTAAAAGTGGCATGCAATCGTGACGCACTGTTCAACTCTAGTTCCTTGAAGTATGCTATCTCTAGCGCATCAACTGCTTACATTCTTGTGATTGTTGGGTTAGTTGTGGACTTTATTTCCGATTGTGTCGTGAAACCAACCGATAACCGAACTCTGTTGATGTCATATGGATAGAGTCGAATGTGTTGATGCCTGACCAATTATTCAGTTATTTTGTTCTGTTATAAAAACGCGTTTGTTTTCTCCATGTCCCGTCTTAGACTTCGGATGTATCAAAACCAAGACCAAAAAGTAGCAGCATTTCGGCAACTCCGATGCAGCTAAAGGCAGCCTTTTCAACAGACGAGCTTTTCTGTATCATGACAGTACTCAACCGTTTGGTCCCCTTCGCGTTCGCCTCTGTCCTTGAGAGCCTGACATTGCTTCTACCCGATGCTCAAGACTGTGATGATTTGGTCCTAGAGGATGTCTCCGAGGCCTTAGAAAAGGAAGAGAGAGAAGATTTGGAGGAAAATGGAAATGTAAGAGTAACTAACAGTACCAATGTCGACGAGCGGCGGTCTCCTGTCGGTAAGATTGCGTATTTATTCTACTCTGTATATATGAACCATTGCTATTAAGTCGTCTCCAACAATTGGGTCTTAATATCCCTCGATATCACATGTATTGGTGGAGTTTCGTAAGCAGTCACTGAGTGCTTCAGACGTGTAATACCGTAGATGCGAATTTTTATTCCTAGATCCTGATCAATATGAATATCTCTTCGTACCTCAGTACATTTTGGGCAAGCACCACTATGAGCAGCTGCTCGAGTGTTTCAACAGCATTATGAGCGGCTCGAAGCTGAAGCGCGGAGAAGAGGAACAGCAGATGCACTCGAAGTCAGAAGAAGCCGAGGATGAAGAGGTGGAGAATGAGATTGCAGCAATGACAATGGACATTGTTTCAGCGTCTATGAGTAGGGTGGGCGATGAATGGCCAGCGATGGACGCAGTTAGGCAGCACCTACTCTGCGTCGCCCAGATGCTACGAGGCATCACACCGTGTCCCAGTGTTGCTTCCGCAGCTACTCTGACGGAGTCTACGGAAATCACGGAGGGGCATGAATACCTTGAACAGGATCCCATCTCACCTCAGGAATTCCTTGCGTTGATGCAGGTGCGTGTTTCAATTCTTATTCTACTAACCTTAATACTAAAGACCTTCGACTGAATCACCTTAACCTCTGGAGTCTGGGCTAACTTTTTTACGCTTAGGAAGAAAGTTTTCACCATATTTTAAAAACTCATTTCTATTGCATGTTCATAAAGTTAGGGGCGCAATAGCTCTACACTCCATTTCGATTATTTCCCGTAACTTAATTATTTTCCTCTGTGAGAACTATAATTTTTGATTAATATGAGTTTACTAAAATACACAGTAACTAGGCGTCGTAGGTTCCTGAATTACGATTTACGGATAAAATACCAATTTCTTAGGGATCGAACAATCCGCGTCCGTGTAACGCTCATGTTTTTAGACGCAATTTGAAGACACTTACTGGACACCGTGGCATTTACAACCAACTTCAAGTATTCTCACTTTGTGCAAGGAGCTTTGCTTTCATGTCACCCTTTTTGGCAAAGCATTTGGAGCGCTTGCGGTGCAAACCTACCTTGGAGGACCATTTCACACTCTTCTCATGGAGCGCAGTGTGCAAGGCTGTAAGCCCAATGCAGACACTTTTTGCTTCACTGATGTTCTTATCATCGCTAACCGTATTTTGGGTTAACTTTCCATCAGATTTTGAGTTCGATCTAAAGGCTCTTCCATCAGGCGCTTTTGCTGGTTATTGCTGTTTGCTGGCATCGACCAAATTTGTAAGTTTTTTCGCTTTTAGCATTTCCTTAGTTGGTTGAGCTTTTGGTCTACTTGTCCTCCTGGTCTTGTAGAAAACGGATCTTAATACGGTGAAAATGCTGATAGCAAATGCGATATTCCTCCACTCTCGTGACTCCTGCTCTCTCCACGGTGTACGTGCTGGAATAATGGCTCTCTGGTGCGTCTACGGTTTAACGGATCTTCTTTGCCACTTGCGTTAAGCTCCAATAGCCTGAAGTGTGTTGATGAGATTATTTCACTATGGACAATTTGCCTTTCGGACTTGATAGGTAGCAGTAAGCTCTACTGACACTCTGTAAGTAAGCGATGGGTTGAGCTTCACTTTCCATTTCACTAGATGTTTTGGGTAAAATGCTATTTTCCGCAAAATTTTCTCACCATACTCAGAATCGATTTTGGTAATACAGTGCTGCTATTTCTTTTAATTTTTGTGAAGACGTGTCTACTGTAAGCATTCGAAGTCTGAACAGCCTTCTTTTCATAATGGCGTAAACTTTTGCTTTTTATTTAGTGTGACTGGTGTATTTATTTTCTGCTGAAAAAGTTTTTTATTGCTCAAACGGAAGCAACTCATGTCCTGTGTTCACCTCTCTCAACATTTAAAATTGTAGATTATTTTGAAACGGACTGCGGTGGTGCGAATTAGTGGCTAGAAGTTAATGTCCTATGAATATTCTTGCAAGGGAATTTTAAATACTGTCTTAAACTTACCTTTGGTTTTTATCTGCATGGACAAACTACGTCGATCCAATGCGCATTTAGCATTAGATTCTTGTACTACTTTTTAAGTTTGGCGTCATTTATCGCATTTGAGGGGTATTGCAATTGCTATTCAAGGAGTCTCCCAACTGGACTGCCATCCACAGTCACTCAACATCTGCACACGTCGCAATCGTTACTCACTTATCATAGTTGACAAAATTACGCACATGAAACCGGCTAATTACACTAGTAACAGATTTCAACACAATATTTTCCACCTTCTCCCCTTCAGTCACAGCGAGGATGCCATGATGATTGCACACGAGATCCTACTTCCGGCGCTGCGTTCTTGTGCCTCGTGCGCGGATCCCGCGGTACGTAGAACTGCTAGTAACATCTTCTACACCGTCATTTCCTACCTCTCCGATGCTGTAGACTTTGACTCGACTCCAACAGCCAAGTCCAATGAACTTGCACCTGCTCCTCCAAAAAAGCACAATCGTCAATCCTCACGAATTCCAGGTTCGTTTAATGCCAAGGTCTTCTAGTTTCCCTTTTACTCCAAAATATCTGCTATTCTTTGTTCCCATGAACTACATTACCTGGAGTGCTTGGAACTTTAAGGGATTTACCTTCATATAAGTCTATTGAATTGTGAACTATACGGATGTTTTTTTTATTTAACTTCAAATAGGTTCGAACCCTACTCTTTCAGACAAATCTCCTTTCTTTGTCGCCTAAAATTTTGTCTTGAGTTTGTATTGTATCAAAGTCGAACAATAGTAATTACTTTGGTATAGTTTTCAGTTGTCAGCGCAGAAATTATTTCTTGTGTTTCTTCACTTACGCTCATGCACATCTTAAGGGGGTTTTCTCATCCTCCCAATTCGCTTAGTTTGATCAAATCTACCCCTCCTTTGAATTTTCGTTTCCGCTTCTTCTTCTCTTTGAAAGTTATTTACTTTCTGTGTTGAAGGAAGACTCGTACCTAAATGAGGCGTTTTCGACTACTATGAAGTCATGTTCTGAAGTCGCTGTTACCATCACTTGCAACATCTTTAGTCAACTCGCTTCCTAGTTTGAGTACACAGAACGTGATTGCATTCAGAGGTCGAGATTGATATATTGGTGAATTCATTCTTTTGAGAAGCAACTCCAACCCTCTTGGAGGAGTGCTGGCAACTATTGAACCACTTGGCACGGGATGACTATGCTTCAATTGGTGCCGTGACGTTCCCCGAATCGACCTCTTCTGGGACCACGGAAGTTCCCCCAGTAGACGAGCATTCTGCCGATTGGTCGTGCATCTCAGTGGCTTTGGGACCTCTCTTCTGCCTCTACAGTCGCATGCTTAGGTCCAGTCCTTACGTCACTGACATGGACCTCAAACAGCGACGCAATCTTTCAGAAAACAGTAGAGTTTCTGAACAGGTGTGAATTTTTCATTCTCTTGTGCTTCAACATGAAACTCAAGTAATTTTCTGTTTAGGTACTTCCATTTTTCTAATCGAGTTTCGGAGAGCTGAGCTTTCTCTTGTCCGAAGCATTTAGTTGTGAATCTTAATCTCGGTAAAAAAATAATTTTTCGCGTTGGATGGATATAGAGCCAAGATGCTATCGTAAAACTACTGAGAGTGGTTTTATCAAAGATCAGTGGATTATAGCCATTATACTGCCACACGTAATTGTCATTTGATGAATCTATTGATATAATTTTTATAAATATTTATGAATATGACCCTGCCACTGTAGTAAATGAGACGGCAAATTATTTTAGCCCGTTAATATCCATACAAATTTGGGTTCATTAAAGATGTTTTGACCATTCATATCATTGCGTCATGCGCTGGCTGCTATTATTTGACATATTTGATCACTTACGCGTTTGGTGAGTGTAAACGACTCGTCTTTTATGTAATCTAACTTCGGCACTGAGTTCCTCAGAATAATCAGAACTTCCTGAAGAAGTCACTCTCTCCTTCAAAGCGTCATGTCTATGCAAAACTGCTTGTGGGTTGCGGGGACGGACTGTCGGATAATGCTATATCTACTAAAGTAATGTACTTCTGTTGCTATTTTAACAGTACGCTTCCATTTATAATCATTGATGAAAATAATAGGACAACATTTCGAGAACCTTAATTGTCTAAGCATCCTTCATTCATGTAACCACTGCTACCTTTTATCGTCTGATAGGTGCTGGGGCTGATAGGCCGACTGATGTCCATGGTCAGTGCGGAGAGCCAATCTCCACTGGACTCCTCTGTCGTCCAGTTCCTAGCTCAGCGGCAGCACTGGGAGACCCTTGTCAGTGGTCTTTTACAAGTTGCTAACCGGCTTTTCCGCACTTGTCCCGAGGAATTCCGCGACAAAAGTAAGCACACGTTCTTCTACTGCATGCATCACATATACGGAATAGGTTTACCCAAGGTAAAATTACTTGGCACGGAAAGAGAAGACGCAAAGTATTTCCTATCACCCTTGGCAAGGCAAAATACCTGAAATGTGGCAGTCGACTCCCAAAATTGTTGCCATCAAAATGTCATGTACTTGTTTGCTTCATCCAAAATGTACACGCTTTTAATTTCATAAGTCTCTAAGTTGGTCTTTTTGTTTCGTGCTTGGGTATTACCAACACTAGTTCGTTAACCCTTCGGCATAATGTCATGACTTTCAGAGACACTCCTTGGTTTTCTGTGCATCTTGGCTTTGAATGATTCTCTGATTAATGACCGAAGGAATTTCAAGCGCAAACTATGTATGGTTTGTTTATGTGGCAAACGGGATATGCATAAATGCAACATTTTTTGAAAAAAGCAACACGCCTTGTCCACATTATTACTCATTTTGTCTTCTCGTTGCTTCAGTAATCCTTCCCTGGCTCTATCGTCTTACTGAGATCAACAATATGATTCCCGATTTGGAACAACGAACTCGGCTTGGTCAGCGTTTGGTTGCCGTCTTCTCAACCGCTGCATTCTGTATCCTTTTGCTTGCCTATACCGATGTTATCAGCACTGCTGTTACCCAAATGCCTTCACTTTCTTTGAGCTATTATTTCAAAAAAACTGGTGTTTGAGCTATTAATGGCAATTCATCTTTATCTGGTCACCGGTCGTGTCCTTTTGTAACTATGGTGCTAATATTGCCAATTTGGGCTTGCTTTCCTCCATACACCGCTCGAATGGACTAAGCACGTGTCTTCGTGCAGACATCGTTGGGTTGGAATTTAGCGAATGGAACAGATGACTGGAGTTGGGCCCTATGGGTTTGGTTTCCTTTGTGAGCTATTTTAGGCCAAACACAATCCACCTTATTTTCCATTAATTTGTGCTCTTGGGGGTTTGATACAATTTGGAGACGCATTTACCAAATGATCAAGTCCTTCTTTTTTATGCACATTTCTTCAATATACCCTTATGAAGCTCGTTTATTGCATTCTGAATTTAAAATACACACGATGGAATATGCACGTGATTTCTGGTTTTATTGTGTCATCTTAACTTAGAAATGTACATGCAGATATGGGCACAGAGGCC